TTGTGCCAAAATCGTCAGCCTGATTGCGCGTTGAATTTTGGGCGGCTACAATGTTTAGAGAAGGTCACTGCCCTCCGCATGACCATTGCATTGGATCTAGCTATGGCAACCATTCATTGTTAACGGCGCATGGGAGGTGCAAGAAGCTTTTGAGGTGGCGTCCAAACAAATGTTGGAGAGGTAGAAAGGCACGGTGAGCAGGCACGGATGTTTCGGATGTTGGAGAGTTTCATGCTGTAGGCTGGAGATGATTGAAAAGTTCAAGGACTCTTGATGTGATGATCAAGCGATTACAAAATATTTGTGCGCCATCAAGAGGTCGTGCACATATACTAGGTCTATGCTTATCACCCACTGAATATGAAACTAATTGAGTTTAGCTTGACATTTTTATTAAACTAGCCTTTATTGCTTATGTTGTAATCTATGCATTTACATTTTATGATAAGCATTTTGCACGTTATGATCAGTTTTTTGCATCCACCTATATCTATTTACTTAGTTTGAGATGGTTTGATTTAACGCTGACAGCTTCTGTGTCTATCTTGAAATACAATTCGAACTAAAAATTTTCCCTATATGTAGTCATAGTCCCACCCAAAAAATTAAATAAAATAAATCCATATTCTGAATATTTTGATGGTAAAATGATTTTTTTGTATGGCTTGATTCACGAGTGAATCATCAGCTGATGGTGAGCACAATTTTATAAAGCACTGACGAAACTGACTAATAAGAAATTATCGCAAAAAAAAATCATTTTTACCATCAAAATTTTCAGAATATGGATTATTTATTTTATTTTTTAGGGGTGCGCCAGAGACTAATACTACCATATGAAGCTCGATAGTATTTCAGATAGAGAACTTGATCACGTTAAATGCAAGACATCTCCTCAAACTATAGTAAATAGATATATAGGTGGATCAAAAAAACTCAATGGATCATATACAGTGCCATAATGCTTATCATAACAAATGTAAATGCAAGGTGATTCACAACCATAGCATATAAGCTAGTTATCTGTAATAAAAATTCAACTAAACTCAATATTAGTCTCATTTTCAGTGTGAGGTAAAGTAGTGGAAAATACCGAGTAGGTTGAGACCTCTTGATTGGCGGCAAAATACTTTTGTATCGCTTGATCATCCACCAAATCGCAAGCACGTTCCCTGATCTCTCCCTATCTTCGCCTATGCACTGTTGTCCGAAATTATTCCAGCTTACGGCTCTAACGGAAAAAATCCAACATCGACTGCCAGTGTCTACGTTGCCTTTCTCTCTTCCTAACATTCTCGGTGTTGGAGCCACTCAAAAGCTTCGTGTGCCACCTTCCCGAATGCGGAGATACATATGAGTTGTTGCGAATAGACCAATTGCTGGGCCTATCGGGATGTGGCTAGTGACCTCTCGTGCTCACATGATAGCCCCACAAAATTCACCCCAATTAATCTCATTTAGGCATTGAGATTTGCTACAACAGAATCTTCAACATATCACACTTGTCTCGTTGTCTTGGGAACAAAGTTTTTCTTCGTCATTCTTATCAAAGAGTTCGAAACGCAGCTCACAAATTTTTTGACTTCGATTAAGCCAAAAGAACATAGTATTGGTATTGTTGTGATGTGTCATGCCCAATTGCCTTTCTTCTTCCATTGCTCATCCATTAGGAGCTGGTTGCATGGGACTTCCACGTGCCCCTACTCTTACAAGAGATATCAATAAAGCATATAAGCCGTACCAAGTAGGCAGGTGCCTTAAGTGTTGTCCCTCATGGAATCTCTTCAAACAACTCTCTTGCTTTAAGCTATGTCTTATAAAAAGAACCCCTAGCAGGATACAAAACCCCTTGGGCGGGCATGAACTCAATGTAATGTTTATTGTTTTTCTATTATGCTAGCTGCACAAGACAAACTTTACACCCTTCTCATTTCTGTAAGAATATAGCTCTACAAACCTGAGTGACCGAAATATTCCTATTATTCGCAGTCAAGCATCTAATTCTTTAGTACTATTGTAAGGTACAACATTATTTCGTGCTTTAGAGCCGATTCTATATAGACCATCCCATCGTCAAAATAGACCGTTAGTACAAGAGCTTGCGATCAGCGAGTAAACATCACCTGATTCCTTGAAACCCAACAGAAAAATATTCGATGGTGCTTGGTGTCTAGGGAGAAAATCGAGATGCCATCTTGTTTAAACACAGCGGACCTTGCGCGCCATTCCGTTCATCTGCCTTTGAGTACAAAATGCCTAAAGTAGTAACATTTGAACTCGTCGCTTTGCCAAATTTCCTCCCTACAAATATATTTTTCTTCATCCTCTCAAATGCTTTCAAGGGTATCTTCGTTTAGGGGGTCTTTGCGAACTTAAACAATCTCGGATTAACAAGATGCCTCATGGATTTAGGGTTAGCCAAGGAAGCGGTTGTTCGTTGAATTTCTCTCCATCAATTCCCAAGCTTTATCAAAGTAGCGCATTCGTGCAAGTATTATGGAGCCTCTTTCTTCAAAAGCATCTGAAACTTGGCGGGGACGCGAGTGCAGGTTTAAGGCGAGAATTTGAAGAATTTCAAAGGCTTTAAGGCCATTGGAGTGTGCTTGCAAAGAGACGGATTCGAGCACATTTTTCACCAAGCAGATTGAAAGCACAAGATGGCGAGAGATTGTTTTGGCAAAAGAGTGGGCGTGAAGCGGGTGATGATCAGGGAAAGGGTGGGCGTCGTTAAAAAACAATTTTTGGGATTTGGTTATTGAAAATTTTTTCTCGATTTTTTTTTTTCCCAATTTGTATCTCTCTCAAATTTTCTTTTGTTTTGCTAGCAGGTTGCATTCAAAAGCAAAGGCTACGAAATATGCATGTTTTTTAGGACCTAGTTTACTTGTATCTATTCAGTTTTGACCAAATGAGCATGACCTCTTTTCTTCAAAACAAGACCAACACACTTCAACTTCCATCTATGATGGAAAGCTTTTACTGATCTTAATATCCTGTTAATCAAACATGTTAGGATCCTTTGTTGTCAAAATCCATGGATCAACCAAGGTTGGTTTAAAAGGTTTTCAAGTTTTTCAGTAATTTTTCAAATTTTGTCTCACAGGGTTTCACCGCTCGAGCGGGGCGAAAAAGTAGGCGCCACCATCGAGCGAGTATTGGAGCTCTACGAGCATCTCTGCAGACCAGTCGCACCTGAAAAAGTACTGATGGGTGTGTGGATTCTCGTGACGCGCTATCGAGCGTTGGCACAACTAGTACGCTCCTGAAAAATTCGGAGCGAGCTGCATATAGGAATCACACCAATTCCTTCGTATATAGCCTTCGCTCGCAAGCCGGGGACATTCCGCAACGATCCGATATGCGGACCCCGCGCCGATTCCCAGCATTCTATAAATTCGTTGATGTTGGGATCTGTTTTATACGTGTCTAACTTTTTCCTAGTACTCGCCCTGTTATTGCAAGAGTCCTAGGGTTTTGTTTTGAGTTTTCCTCTCTGAAGTTTTGGTTGAGTTTTCCATTGATGTTTTTGAGAAAGAGTTCCTTCACTTCAGATGATCTAAATACATACATCAAGAGTTTGGTTACTTTGAATTTCAAGGAGAGAGTACTTCTTCGGTGGATTTCCGGAAGATTTTCTAGCGTAGAGGTATCAAAAGGAGTTTGTTTCTGTAGTAGTAGTTCATTCGACAAGTGAAGTTGTGGCATTCAACTTCATGATTGATTTAGTCCGAGACGAAGGCGTAGCGTGAAAGAGTTATTAGAAGATTCGAAGACCAAATTTGACTGTAGTAGGAATTTTGTATGTTATCTTTGTAATCTTTTCTTTCTTCAGTAGTGGATTGGATTTTAGTTGGGCATCTTTTCGCCCCCCCATTGTGATTTTTTTTTATTACAAATTTGAAGGTTCTTCAATGTGTGGTTTTTTTCACGTAAAAAATCGTTGTTGTGTCGATTTAATGTTTTATTCCGAAACAACAAACAATCTAAATCACTTTCGTAAGTGCTTGTGTGGTTTTAGATTGTGTGCTTTGGAACTCTGGGATTTGGAATATTTTAATCTTGACTAATCACGAATCACTTAGGATTTTCAATTGGTATCAGAGCGGGTCACTCTTTTTTTTAAAAAAAATATAGGAGTGTTGATTTTGTGTGATTTAGTGATTATGGATTCTATTCGTGAATGGTAACTCGACCCAAATAGACCTCCTTACTCGGATGGTATACAAAACTATTCTTATAAATGGATGAGTAATGCTCCGTATGAGGATGCAAATTTTCTAAAATCCATATCGATGAGAAAGCTTTCGGACATTGCACGTGCGGTATCTATGCGGGCATTCGCCCGAAGTGAACCCTAACTATTCTACCAGGTTGTGATGACGTGTTGGATTATTCCCTAAACCGCCTTTACGATTAAATAGGAAGACCCTACTTACTGCCATTAACAAAACTCTGAGAAGTTTTGTAATAGAAAGGCTCTCAATATCCACTGTTTTGCTCCGTCCAACTGAAGATTTTGTCGTTAGATCTGCCACGTGTGGAGGGGCCGCGGGGGCCGGGCGGGGGGGGGCGCGGGGAGGGGGGGGGGGGCGGGGCGGGGGGGGGGCGGCCGGCCGGGGGCGGGGGGGCCGGCCGGGGGGGGGGGGCGGGCGCCGGCGCGGGGGCGGGCGGGCGCGGGGGGGGGGGACGGCCGGCGGGGGGGGGGGGGGGGGGGCGGGGGGGGGGCGGGCGGGGGGCGGCGGGGCGCGGGGGCGGGGGCGGGGGGGGGCGGGCGGGGGGGGGCGGGGGGGGGGGGGGCGGCTAGCAAAGAGGCTGGGGGACATTCTTGAAACATATTCCACGGAAGGTACTACTTCGTCAAAAGGTCAAAACTTCAACATCTCACCTCATCCTTTGAAAAACCCTTTTTTATGCGCGATGAGAGACGTTTGATGTTTCTATGCAAAACTTAGTGATATCGCTGAATTCCTGTTTCACACTCGGGGAAAAAATCTCGGAAGCTAAAAATGCTTGGAAAAATTTTGAGGTTCTTTACCCGAGTTCTCTTCCATCTCATCCATTAAGCTGGTTGCAGACTCCACGTCCCTACATCTTACAAGAGAATTCAATAAAGCATTATAAGCACCAGTAGCAGGCCTTAAGTTTTTCATGGGAATCTCTTCAAACAACTCTCTTGCTTTAGCTATGTTTCGAGCAACCCCTGCGGCATGAATCAATGTTGTTATTGTTTCTATTGTAGGCAAGCAATTTACACCTTCCATTTCTGTAAGAAGTCTCAAACCATCACCGAAATATCCTTTTTTGCAGTAAGCATCAATTCTAATATTGTAAGTCACATTATTCGGCTTAAAACCTCTTTGAACCATCTCATGGTAGAACAGTTCTACAGCAGTAACATCACCTGATTCCTTGAAACCCAACAGAAAAATATTCATGGTCTTGGTGTTAGGAGAAAATCGAGGATGCATCTTGTTAAACACGGACCTTGCCTCCTTCATCTGCCTTTGAGTACAAAATGCTCTAAGTAGTACATTGAACTCGTCGGTGCCAAATTTCCTCCCTACAAATATATTTTTCTTCATCCTCTCAAATGCTTCAAGGGTATCTTCGTAGGTCTGGAACTTAACAATTCTCGATAACAAGATGCTCATGGATTTTAGGGTTAGCAAGGAAGGGTTTGTTCGTTGAATTTCTTCCATCAATTCCCAAGCTTTATCAAAGTAGCGCATTCGTGCAAGTATATGGAGCCTCTTCTCAAAAGCATCTGAACTTGGGCGGACGCGAGAGTGTTGAAGGGAGAATTTGAAGAATTCAAAGGCTTTAAGGCCATTGGAGTGTGCTGCAAAGAGACGATCGAGCACATTTTTCACAAGCAAAGTTGAAAGCACAGATGGCGGGATATGTTGCAAAAGAGTGGGGTGAAGCGGGTGATCAGGGAAAGGGTGGTCGTTAACAATTTTGATGATTCTCTCGATTTCAATTTCTTTTGGCTAGCAGGTTGATTCAAAAGCAAAGGTACGAAATAATGCAAGTTTTTTAGGACCTAGTTTACTGTATCTATTCAGTTTGACCAAATGAAGCATGACCTCTTTCTTCAAAACAAGACACAACACTCAACTTCCATCTATGAATGGAAAGCTTTACTGATCTCAATATCCTGTTAATCAAACATGTTAGGATCCTTTGTTGTCAAAATCCATGGATCAAAACCAAGGTTGTTAAAGGTTTCAGTTTTCCATGATTATGACGGGGATCGAGCTGCCCGGTCAGCTCGCAGGGGACCAGGGGCAGCGCCCCTTGACGGGTCCGGGGCAGCGCCACGGCGGGGTCGAGGGGCAGCGCCCCCGAAGCAAAATGCAAAAATGCATTCAAAGTTGCCATTCGATCATGTTTTATTTTTCCAGATTTTCCAGTTTTGGCCTGTCTGCTCGAGCGGGACATCGGGCGCTCGAGCGAGGATTGGAAGCTCTCAGCATCTCTGCAGTCGCCTGAAAAAGTACTGGATGGTGTGATTCGACGCTCGAGCGTGGAAACTGACGCTCGAGCGTGATATGAATCACACAATTTTGTAGCCTCCGCTCGAGCGGGAATTCCCACGATCGAGCGGACCGCGCGATCCCAGATTCTATAAATTCGCTTGTTGGGTCTGTTTTAGGTTAACTTTTCCTAGATCTTATTCAAGAGTCCTAGGGTTTTGTTTGAAGTTTTCTTCTGAAGTTTTGGTGAGTTTTCCTTGATGTTTTGAGAAGAGTTCTTCACTCATGATCTAAAATACATACATCAAGGAGTTGGTTACTTTGAATTCAAGAGAGAGATCTCTTCGGTGGATTCCGAAGATTCTAGCGTAGAGTATCAAAAGGAGTTTGATTCTGTACGTAGTAGTTCATTCGACAAGTGAAGTTGTGGATTCAACTTCATGATTGATTAGTTCCGAGACGAAGGCGTGGTGAAAGAGTTATAGAAGATTCGAAGACAAATTGACTGAGTAGGGTAATTTGTATGTTATCTTTGTAATCTTTCTTTCTTCAGTAGTGGATTGATTAGTGGCATTTCGCCCATGGTTTTTTATTACAATTGAAGGTTCTTCAATTGTGGTTTTTTCCACGTAAAAATCGTTTGTGTCGATTTAATGTTTATTCCGAAAAACAAACAATCTAAATCACTTTCGTAAGTGCTTGTTGGTTTAGATTGTGTGCTTTGGATACTTGGGATTTGGAATATTTTAATCTTGATCTAATCACGAATCACTTAGGATTTTCAATTGGTATCAGAGCGGGTCACTCTTTTTTTTAAAAAAATATAGGAGTGTGATTTTGTGTGATTAGTGATATGGATTCTATTCGTGAAGGTAACTCGACCCATAGACCTCCTTTACTCGATGGTACAAACTATTCTTATTGGAAAGCTCGTATGAGAGCATTTTTAAAATCCATCGATGAGAAAGTTTGGCACAGCGTAATCTATGGGTGGAGTGAACCTACTATCACCATTGATGGTGTTGATATTCCTAAACCCTTTGATAAATGGGACACTACTGATTACCAAAACTCGAGTTTGAATAGTAAGGCTCTCAATTCCCTGTTTTGCTCCGTCACAACTGAAGAATTTTGTCGTATCTGCACGTGTGAGGTAGCAAAAGAGGCTTGGGACATTCTTTGCCAAATTCACGAAGTAAGAACTTACTTCTGTCAAAAGGTCAAAACATTCAAGCGATCTTCGCACCGATTACTATCCTTTGCATACAACCCAGTGTCATTCTTCTATGCGCAGGCGATGCAGGAAGACGTTTTGATGATTTCTATGCAAAACTTAGGTGATATCGTGAATTCCTGTTTCACACTCGGGCCGCCGCGCAAAAACTCGGAAGTAAAATTGTTGGAAAAATTGTGAGGTCTTTTACCCGACGCAGCGAC